CCCGTAAACCCTCAACCTTAAACCCCAAAACCCCTAAACCCCTAAACCCTCAACCCTAAACCCCTGAACCCGAAGCCCTAAACCCCTAAACCCCTAAAAGAGCCCGTAAACCCTCAACCCTAAACCCTAAACCCTCAACCTTAAACCCCTAAACCTCTAACCCCCTAAACCCTAAACCCCTAAACCCTCAACCCTAAACGCTAAGCCCTAAACCCTAAGCTCCAGGGTTTCCATTGCTCCACGCTAAAAAAACCTAGGGGCTGAGTACCTTAGCCCCAAAACGGTTAACCTGTTGAATTATAGTAGGATTCTACAAGCCCAAAAAGGTTAAAAGTTACCGACTCAGCCCCTAAGAAAACCCCCCAAGCTCTGCCTCCGGAGTCTAGGACTTTTTCAAGCGCGCAGTTACCGTTCTAGGAGCCTTGTAGAAGGTCTATATACCTCATAGAAGCCTTATAGAAGCCCTATATACCCTAAACTCCCCACCTGTAGTTTCCTTTAACCCCAAACCCTAAACCCCAAAACCCTAAAACTCCCAAACCCCTAAACCCTAAACCCTAAAACCACCTGTAATTTCCCTCAATAAAAAAACCCCAAGCTCTGCCTCCGGAGTGGACTTCATACTCAGCCCCTTGGCTCCAGCCTCTCGAGATCTCCGCAAAGCGAAGGAAACTTCGGGTACACGGGGTTCCATAATTCTATCTTAGGCTTGAGGGTTTAGGGTTTAGGGTATTCTATATCTATAAATATCTACAACCTGCATGATTTTATATCTAGCTATCTATCTATCTATACATCTGTCTGTATCTATCTCTATCCAGATGGGAGTTTCCGAAAATAGGGGACCCTAATATAGTACCCTAAATAGTATGCTCCTTATTACAAGGACCCCAAAATCAGGCACCCTAGTTTTGCGGAAACTCCCTATAAACCCTAAACCCTAAACCCTAAAAACCCTAAACCCTAAACCCTAAAAGCCCTAAAAACCCTAAAACCCCTAAAAACCCTAAAACCCTAATGCCCTATAAGCCCTATAAACCCTGATTCTGATTCCTAAACGCAGGCCCCGAAGACATTCCTGGAGCCTCGGTCCTGTCGAACCTTAGCTCAGCGCCTTAAGGACGAAACGTACCCTAAGAGGGTTTGGGGTCTAGGATTTAGCGTTTAGGGCTTAGGATTTCGGGTTTAGGGGTTTAGAGGTTTAGCGTTTAGGGTCTAGGATTTCGGGTTTAGGGTGGAAGTTCTAGGGTTTACAAGTGCCACGGCCCTTTAAGAAACTCTTCAAGGAACCCTCAAGGCGCCCTGCTCTAATTCTTCTGGCCTCTATATGACTGCCATATAGGGTAATATAGGGCTTCTATAAGGGTTTTGGGTTTAGGGGTTCAGGGTTTTAGGCTGGAAATATAGGGGTTCTATAAGGGTTTTGGGTTTAGGGGTTCAGGGTTTTAGGCTAGGATATGAATAGGTGGTTCTCTAAATTAGGGTCCCTTTTGGGTTCCCAAAATAGTACGGCAGCCTTATAACAAGGACCCTGAAAGGGAAGCTAATTTTGAGAGCTACATATGTAGGGGTTCATAGGATATAGGCACAGGCCTATCCGGTGATACCCTAACCTGCCAGGTACCTACTATATAGGGTATTAGAGCCCCTAGGGCCCTATATAGTAGGTACCTGGAGGGTTAGGGAGAAGCACCGAAAACACTAAACCCTAAACCCTGAACCCCTAAACTGCAAGCCCACCTGGCCTTATTCTTCGGTGATGCCTTGGCTTTGGCCTTGGCTTTGCCTGCCTTGGCATCAATCTTCGCCTTCTTCTCCGCGACTTTCTTCTCCTGGTTTCTCGCTCGTGGGTCAGAAACGAGAGCCCAGTCTAGTGTGCATTTGTGTAGAATAGTATAGTATAGTATAGTAAAGTATAGTATAGTATACTGTAGTATGGTATAGTACAGTAGAGTAGTAGAGGTTAGTTTTGCATATCGTTGTATAGTACAGTATAGTATGGCATAGTACAGTTTGGTATAGTATAGTATGGCATATCACAGTATAGTATAGTGTATGCTTTATCCCTACATCCCTAAACGTTTTGTAGGTTTAATAAAGCGGGCTCCATGACTTCCAAAACAAAGCTTTTCGGAACAATAGATTATAGTTAGATAGGGTCCCTATCTAACTATAAACTACTGTACCGAAAAGCCCTATAGGGACGAGGGGATAAGATTAAAACATATTCAGCCGGGTATTACGCTTGCTCCTTGTCCAAGTCCTTTGTTTGCTTGGCCGCTGCCTTCCCTTCCTTGGACAGCCGTGCCTTCTTGGCCTCAGTTCCAAGGTGTGGTTATTTTTATGAACTCGTATACGTTTTAGCGGAGATTTTGATGTAGCCGTAATAGCTTTTGTAGGCTTCCGTAGGGTTGAAATGTAGGGGCCTTAAACTAAGAGCTAGAATAAGTAAGGGAGGAATACAAATGATCCCGGGCCTAAGGTGCTCCCTTGTAGAAGCCATTTTAGTACCCTTGCGGTCTAGTTTAGGGTCTAGGGTATAGGGCATCCCTAAACCCTAAACCCTAAACCCCAAAACCCTAAACCCTAAGTACCTTTGCTATATCACTGCCTGTGCAGCCGGGGTGCAGGCTTAGCGGTCTCCTGATTCTCAGCGCTGGGCAAAGGCACGTAAGACTTCTTCGCCTCTTCGTATTCAGCCTTCTTTGTCTCATACTCCGCTTGGTAGACCTTCTTCTCGTCTTCGCTGAGGTTCTTCCACTTTTCGGAGGCCAGCTTCGTGATGGCCGTGATGGGCTGGCCCTCGACTTCCTTGGTAAAGGCCGCCCGGTTCTTGGCAAGGAAGCAGCCAAAAGCCCCGCCGGCTGGCTTCTTCGGTGCCACGGGGTCCTTCTTGGGCTTGGACGCTTTGTCGGCCTTCCTCTTGGTGCCCTTCTTTTCGCCGCCGGCATCGAGGAAGGCTTTCATGTCGGCCTCGTACTTTGTCTTAGCTTCCTCAAACTTCTTCTGGTACTCGGCCTTCTCATCCTCCCCGAGGGTCTTGTAGCCTTCACTGCCGAGTTAACAAAGCTTAAACTTGCAGTTCTATCAGGGGTAGCATTATCCCAAGTATGTACTAAGATACACACTAGTACATACGGACTAGTATTTATACTATTATACTCTGAGATATATACACTTGTATACAAATGTATACTAACACATACACTACTATACACGGACTTGTATATAGTAACACACACTGAGAGAGATACTTACAAATATAAATAAATAAAATAAACAGATAAATAAAAAATACACATATATATATATAATCTACACTAATATGTGTGTGTATATATATACATACATATACATGTTCATATCCCGTTCATATTCATATTCATATACATATACATATACTTATACATATACATACACATATATTTAGATATATATATACACATATACACACGCATGTATATATTATACACACGGAGATTCTGACTAATTCCGCTGCTAAGTAGCGATTCCCGGCCAGCTTGGCCACCTCGGAGGCCGGCTTGCCAGGCCCGAGCTCCTTCTGCAGCTCCGCCCGGTGCTCCTTTTCGGACGCTTTTTTCTTTAGGAACTTAGGGTTTAGGGGGTTTAGGGCTTTCTTAAGGAACTTAGGGTTTAGGGTTTAGGGCTTCTTTTAAGGAACTTTAGGGTTTAGGGTTTCGGGTCTTCATTAACTTATGGTTTAGGGCTTTTTTTAAGGAACTTAGGGTTTAGGGTTTAGGGCTTAAGGAACTTATGGTTAAGGGTTTAGGGTCTTAAGGAACTTAGTGTTTAGGGTAGGCCCTTTTAGCTCTAAGGTACCAGACTTTGAAGCTCTTACGGAAGTTTTTGGCAAGATGCTACCAGGCTTTCGGGCTCTTAAGGAGCTTTTAAGCCTAAGGTACCGTACTTCAGGGCTCATTTCAGGGCTTAAGATTCATTAAAGAAATCTTTTCATTGGCAAGGTGGCACCTTCAATTAGGGCTCATTTAAAGGGTTTAGGCACGGCTTGGGCTTAGACTTACGGAGTTTAGTTTAGCTTAAGGTACGATGCTTGAGGGTTCATTTGAGGGATTAGGATTCGGGAGTCTAGGTTACATTAAACCCTGACCCCTAAACCCTAAAACCCTAAACCGTTAGTTTAAGGTACCATACTTTAGGGTGCCTTCAAGGCCCTGTCTGGAATGTTTAGTTGAAGGTAGGGTGTTTTTTTAAGGGTTTAATCAGGGGTTAAGGAGTTTAGTTTAAGGTGCCATACTTTCGGGGAGTTTAGTTTAAGGTGCCATACTTTCGGGTTCCTGCAAGGCCGAAAGGATTCTTCCAAGGGGTCAGGGCGAAGGACGCTAATGTACGTCGCCCTAATAGGGATCTATAGTAGACGCTAACATGGTCTCTCCTAGTATGGTAACTTAAACTTTACGTTCCATATAACCATTATGCGTCTCTTTTTATGGTAGCTCAAATTGAGCTCCTTAAATGGTATGGTTTCTCTTATTACGGTAACCCAAACTCTTAGGGACTGAGTATCCTAGCCCAAAAAAGGTTAACCTTTCAATAATAGTAGGGATATAGAAGCCCAAAAAGGTTAAAGGTTACTTACTCAGCCCTTAAGACCCTTAAAGGAACCCTAAACCCCTATACATAGTACCTTTAAAGGAACCCTAAACCCTAAACCCCTTTTGTACCTTTCTAAAGGGAACCCTAAACGAACCGAGTTCCCCTAAACCCTAAACCCTAAACATCCCTAAACCCTAAACCCCTATAGTACCTTTAAAGGAACCCTAAACTGGTCATCTAAACCGAGTTCCTGAACTTGAGCCCAGGCTCTCCAAGCCAGATCCCGTAGGCTCCCCCGATCGGCTTCTTCGGCTGCTCACCGGCCATGGAATTTGAGGGGAAGCGAAGGGAAAGAGAGGAAGGGGGCCACTAAAAGAGAGAGGAGGCGTAGCTTTTTGAGGCCGGTAGAGGCAGCCAGACGACCATGCACCCTCCTTGAACTTTCCGAAACCGCCTCCTTGTTTCTTACACCAATGCCGTCTGTGAATGAGTGACAAAATAAGTCAAAGGCTCACATAGGGTCTCGGGTTGGGGTTTGTAGATGTGCACTCATCTGCTTTCTGAGATGGGTTTACCTCTCTGGGCCCTCGAAGGGCCGAAAATTACCCTGGCCCTGGAACCCGGGAGTTTAGGGTTTAGGGGTTTGGGGTTTAGGGGAGGGGGGTGGGTGGTAAGTTTACGGTTAAGGCCCCTAGCGCCCGAAGACAAACGGTGCAAGTGCTCCTTACGATGAAGCCCGTGCACAATCCGTTAAAAAAATCGGTCTTTTGGCTTACAGGCAGGGTTTAGGCTCCGAAGCCCGAAACCCTAACCCCTAAACCCCAAACACTGTAAACCCTAAACCCTGACAGGCAGGGCGCTCTCCCACAAAAGCTGCGGAAGCGGCATGGGCGCCTCAGTACACAGTCATGAGTTCGTGAAGTCCGTGAAGTTGAAGGATGGTTTAGGTTGATTTAGGGTGTAGGGGTTTAGGGGGTTTAGGGGGCTTTGGGGGTTTGTTTTAGAGATAAGGGACCAATACTATGGCAACTGTCAGACTGTCAAGCAGGCATCGACAACACTTCTCCCCACGGCAGGTGCTGATGCAACTTCACTCCTATCTCTACACCCTAAACTTTTAAAACCATACACTTCATGGCTTCTCGGTAGCGGAAGCGACGTCAGTCGCTACATCTCCAGACGGCTTACAAAACCAAAAGATGAGCTAGACATACTGTAGCGGCCTCAAGAATTGATCTAGGTGTAGGGGCTCCAAGAATTGATCTAGATTAGCCAGGTTGTGGACAAGAACTGGACGGAGTAGCCCCTGAAAGAAGCAAAGGCACTTCAGCTCCCTCTGCATGCATCGGCACCTCCCTGCCAAGCCAATCCCATCCTCCAGAAGAGCTGTGCTGGTTCGAGCCGGAGCTTAGGGTTCAGGGTTCAGATCATAGGCTCTAAACCCAAAACCCAAAACCCAAACCCTAAACCCCTAAACCCTAATCCCAAAACCTAAACCCTAAACCCTATAGGGGTCACCGAAACTCGACAACACTCGTTGATAGTGCGACGTGCTTAACCGTGCTTGTCCGATAAGCCACAGAAAATGAAAGGTTAAAGCTTCAGGTTGCTACTAAACTATAAGAGCCCAAAAAGGCTTAACGGTGGGGTGTTGGAGAAGTAAGTAACAGGAAGTTCGCCTGTCATGGAAGTTCAACGGCATGTGCTCTCCACTGATGGTGGTTGTCGCACTTCGGAACCTGTTCTTATACCTCTTACCACACATCAGCGTCGTGTTGCCTGCATGAATTTGACTCTCGATCAACACAACAAAGCAATACTAACAGTGTTCAGGCCCCTACCCTAGCGTTTTGTTGGGCTCTAGGCTAGTATGGGGACCTCAATACTTCGAACCGGGTTTTCGGGTGTTATCTACTTGTTTACTACGTACAAGACAGGGCTGGGCCTATGGCTGAGCTTGCGAGCTCCGGTGCTGCAGCCGCTGCAGTATCAGGGTTTAGGGCTTCGATGCTTCAGGGTTTAGGGTTTAGGGTTTTCATGCTTCAGGGTTTAAGTTGAAGGCTTGGGAATATTAGGGTCTAGGGTCGATCTTGCTACACAAAACACAACCTCGATGAACGTGCAGGGGCCCAAATAATTCCAAAATAGTGCACACCACAGTACGGTAAGAATAGGAACCCCAAGTAACAAGTAGTCTTACGAAGTATTCCGGCCCTATACCAAATCCTGACACAAACCCTTGAAGGAGCCCTTGAAGGAACCCTTACTTGGAGGTTTATAACTATAAGTGGAGCTATAAGTCACCTAATATGGGTTATAACTACAGTAACTCTACTTACAACCTCATTTATAAGTAGGTTCCTCAGTAGCCCCTTAAGAATACGGGCACCCTCTTTCCTACCGCTTGGTTTTAATAAGGGAAACCAAGAAGAAAAAGGGCAAAAGGGTACTCCTGGGGAACCTAGATAACTACCCATGAATGAACCTCCAAGTACACAAAGTGACCACCCTTGCAGATTCCTAATCCCTAAAACCCTTAACCCTAAACCCCTAAACCCTAAACCCTAAACCCCCTAAACCCTGAACCCTTTTCCATTAAACCCTAAACCCTCAAGCCTTAAACCCCTAAGCACTTTAACCCTAAACCCTAAACTCTCCCCTAAACCCTAAAACCCTAAACCCCCAACCCTAAAAGCCCTAAATCCTAAACCCTAAAAACCCTAAATCCAAAAGTGGGCACCCCTGGAGATGGGCCGAGACACCGCGAGCAATCTGCCCAAGTGCGTTCATGGCCAAGAGCAGATCTCGGCCTTCGTCTAGTAATCTAGGGCCGTCATGACTAAAATAGGGGTTCGTATTGGGATCTATAAGGGGATCTATAAGGGGGTTTAGGGGTTTAGGGATTTTAGGGGCTTTGGGTTTAGGGGTTTAGGGGTTTAGGGGTTTAGGGGTTTTGGGTTTAAGGGTTTAGGGGTTTCGGGGTTTAGGGTTTTAGGGTTTGGGTTTCGTGAAGGTTCTGTAGAGGTTATACCATACCTTGAGGAATAGTATTGGTAATGACTCAAGCTTCTAGATTGTAGAAAAAGGACCCCTTTCTGTGAGGGCCTTCATATGTGGATCCCAGTTGTACGTAGTCCGTATTCAGTATTGATTGCGAACCCACAACCCACAACCCCAAAACCCTAAACACCTAAACCCTAAGCGCAAAAACAAACAGAAACAACACCCTGAAACCCTAAAACCAGCCACCCCAAACCCCCAAACCCCCCAAACCCTAAACCTTGGATTTCTGGAGTCGAAGACCGAGAGCTTGAACTCTGCATGGGAGCTCCATGTCTAGATCGTAGCCCACCCAAAACATCGAGGCAGGCTTCTTTAGGGTTTAAAATAACACACAGGCTTCTTTAGGGTTTAGGGCAGCTTGAACTCTGCATGGGAGCTGCATCCGAGGGATTCTCTGTCACATGCACTGGGGGCTTTTAGGATTTCGGGGGTTTCCGAAAATAGGGGACCCTAATATAGTACCCTAAGTAGTAGGGTTTAGGGCTTAGGGCCTAAATTAGTAGGATCCTTATTATAAAG